CATTAGGACTAAATGGTATACAAAAAAATTTATAGGACTAAATGGTTTAACTTTTCCAAGATAGGATTTATGGGTAATTTTTCCTATAAATAAATAAAGTGAGTGATATTATATCCTCTAATATATCACTTTTGTTTTGATCTCTAATGAAGTGAAAAAGAGAGATGGAGAAAGGAAGGATAAGAAGTGAGAAGTGGAATCCATTTCACATAATTAGGGGTGCTCAATTAGAACTCTTAAGTATTTTTTTTGAATAAGAATTAAAAGTAGGTTGTATTAATGAGTGTCATAAAAATATAAATTAATATAATATTTACTTTTTATAATTATTCTCTGTGTTTAGTTTCAATTTTCTGGATTCAATTTTCTAAAAATTGAGTTTTTTATTTTTCATATATTTTTTTTGTTTTTAGTGAATATTTTTAAAATTTTAATCATTTTTTTCCTTTTTTATATGCATCTTTGTTAGATATATCTAAAAAGTAAAATATTTTTTAAAAAATATTTTAAAAAATCAATAAATACACAAGAATATGAAAAATGCACTGAATTCTCGTATTTTTTATTATATATTTTTAGTATTTAGTGAATTTTCTAAATATTTTTTCCACGAATATTATATTATTTAAGTATATTAATATTAGATGTATCTATAAATTTTTTTAAAAAATGTTTAGAATATTAAAAAAAAGAGTGAAAATAAAAAAATACGAAAAATAAAAAATTTCAATTTTTTTGAAAAATGAATCCTAAAAAACCAAGCCAAACAAGTTGATTAGTAATTCAGCGTTGCTACGTAGCTCGAAAGACAGCTGGCCCGAAAACGACGTCATTTTGGATTATTATTATTCTTTGTTTTTTCTTTCTTTCTCTTTTCTCATCTATTTCTTCTCGTCTTCTTCTTTTTCTATTCAATAAACAGTGTTCATCTCTCCCGCTGTTCACAATTACCAAACTAAAATCAAAATCACTTCTTTTTTTTTTTATTCTGGTCGGCCAATAGTCTACAAAGAAGAAGGAGAAAGAAGAGAAGAGGAGAGAAAAGAGAGAATTAAAACAAAACAAAAAAAATCAATCAGACAAATCAAAACCATTTAAACCAATCAAACCTAAAAATCAAAACATAAAATCAAACCCACCCACCGAGAGAGAGAGAGAGAGCATCAACATCAATAACAACACATTATCATCATCATCAACACATCATCATCATCTTCATGTATCTGTTCTTGCTTTGTTTTTTTTTTTCTTTCTTTTATTCTTCCATAACTTATAACAGAGAGAGCGAGAGAGAGAGAGATACACAGAGAGAGAGATATAGATCTGTGTATACATACAGAGATACAGAAAGAGAGAGAGAGGTACACAGATCTATCTTTGTATACACAGATTTGTGTATACATACAGAGAATGGCGGTGCTGGTGATGGCACCGGTGATAGGTGCTCTCTCTCTTCCCCCTCCCCCTTCTCTCTACCTCTTTCTCTTTTTCTTTTTCTGTCCTCTCTCTTCCTTCCTCTGTTTCAGCGATATAAGAGAAAAATGGAGAGAACAAAAAATTACCCAAAACGACGACGTTTTTGGTATTCAAGCTATTTCAGGCCAAGGTTTTTTTGAGTTATGAAGGATTATTCTTAGTAATTCCTTGGGATGATTCAAACTTGATACTTTGAATATTTTCCTTAAATTTTTACCACTCGATCATTAAATGATTTAACTATATTTTATAATTAAAAAATAGAACCATTTTAAACATACTATTAAATGTACATACTATTAAATGTTCTATGAAAACCCATTAACAAAATTTTTATATGAATTTTGTTAATGTATATGTTTAAGAATTTGTTCTTAAAATTTTGTATATTTTACATTAAAGTGAGTGATTAAAAATTGTACAATTTTTTGAGTTTGCTAATATGCACTCTATTGGTATACGTTAACAATATATATATATATTTTTTTATATAAGAAAATACTAAAAATTGAGGGAGGTTTTAGTTTAAGGTTTTTGATGGTATAATTTTATAAGATAAATTATATATAATATTTTTATAGTAATTGGGGTCTCTCAAAGTTCTCACAGTCATAGAGAAATTTTTGGATATTCATAGATAAATTTCTTTTTTCACAGAAAAAATTTAATTATTCACAGAGAAATTTCAGTTCGTCACATTTCTTTGTGAGGAACTAAAATTTCTCTAATAATGTTAATAAGAGATCTTAACTAATAAGAAAAAATATGTTGGGTATCTCTTACTATCCAAAATTGAAGAGGGATATTTTACTTATTTTTTCAAAATTAAGGCCTCATTTGGGGAGTAACCATTTTAGCCAAAAAATTAAAAAATTATTATAAGTTGTCATATCATTGTTTCTATTTTTTTGTACATATTTTTATAAAAATTAGAAAATTATTAAAATAACATATTCTTAAATGGAACCTAAGTTAACCAAGTGGAAAGAAAAAGAGGGCTAATTTGTACATTTGAGTTCAATCTTACGCAGTCAACCATTCGTAAAATCGACATTATATCATGCAGAAATTATACATTTCTCTAATTTGAGAGTTCTAAAAGAGCATTAATGATGTGAAAATAAAATAAAATTAAAATTAAAATATCACATCACATAGGACCTACACACCAATTAGAGCTATTAGAGCTCTTAATTTATAACTCTCAATCTTTCTTTTTTTATTTATTTATTTTATATTATATATTAATTAATTAAACAAGGGTAAATTACATTGACACCCCTGGAGGTTTGGTCTAATTACTACCCACCCCTTGACGTTTTAGAAATTACATTCTCACCCCTGTGGTTAATAGTCTCATTTCACAAACTCTCTCAGTACATAAAAGGTAACAACTCCTAGTAGAAAAATAGAGGAAATTACATTAAAAAAAAAGTTAAGAAAATGGGAGAAAAAAGAGAGAAAGTAAAGTAAAGTAAAAAAAGAGAGAGCGCATGAGTTTAATGTTTTCATTCCATCTAAATAATTACAATGACAGGAGGGTTAGTATAATTTTTCAAACGTTAAAAAATGATATATATTAAACACAAATCTCAAGAGCGTAAATGTAATTTACCTGTTAGTATAATTTTTCAAACATTAGAAAATAATATGTATTAAACACAAACTTCAAGAATGTAATTGTAATTTACCCATTAAACAAGGTACGGTGCTTTGACGTGTTTGTTGTGGTTAGCCTAAATTCCCTTTGTTTTGCAATGACTTTTAAATTGAATTTTTTTAATGAATTTTTGATGTGTTCTTTATTTTGTTTTTAACTTTGTACGTGCATTCACAGTAAAAACAAAGAAATCATCTCCCTTATTTTTATAAATATATTTTTCATCTATAGCACAAATTTCAAATTTGGTTCAATTTTAAATTTTTTAAAAGACTTTACTCTAAAATCACGTAAAACTAATAACTTTTGATAAAAAATTGAAAATGGTTCATTGTGTTTTCATTTTCCATTTCTTTCTTCTTCATTTTTTTTAGATAAAAAATAAAACGAAATCATAATTGGTTTATTATTTTAAATTACAAAATTAGAATTGATATAAAATCTTTAAATATAAAAATATTTTCGTTTATTTTCATAACCACTTTTTATTATTTCCTCTAATTTCTACCCTTTTCGACCACCATCCACCACATTCAGTGTGTACCACCACCACCACCAAACGCTCATAGGAAAACTTCGACTACTTTATAGTCACTCTTTACTATTGTAAGTTACATCAATAATTGCTGTGAGCTTTCGGATGACATTATTTTGAATCTATTTTAATGATTTGAATTATTTATATTATAAGTTTTGTTAAATGTATTATATATGTAAAAATGAGATTAATTGGATATCTATATCTTCATGATCGGGTTCTAATTATTTTTAAAAACATTATCAAAATCATATTAGATATTTATTTTCTTACAAAAAAAAAAGGTCGATTATGAGACTACAAATATCCGATTATACTTGACTTTTTAATGAATAATCTACTTGATGAACTTTCAGTTATGTTAAACGGTTTAGATTATTGAAATAAATTCAAGCAAGTCACAACGTGCCTCACAATGATTATTACTCACGACAGTAACTCCAGGTCCCATCAATCGGTAAACACTGTAGCTTGTGGCAACCACTTGTCCATCCTATGACCGCCTACCAACTTTGGCGGCTATCCATCACCGATCATCAAATTCATCCACTGTCTACTATCGGGCATCATATCCTACAATTCATTATCATAGAATTTGTTGCCAAACAAATATGTTTAATAAGACATCGCAAGGTTTGCCCCCAATGGTTTAATAACCACGTCTTAGGATGCAGTGAGGGGAGATCATGGGTTTAAGTTGATGAAGTAATAATGAATCTTTCAATTGTAATCTAACTACATCACACTGAAACTATATTTATAAATGAAGGGAAAAAAAAGTAAAGTACAAATAGGTGCTAATAGTTGGATTTAATTTATATCAAATTCTATTGAAAATAAATTATAGTAAAATCATTATTAAAAATAATTTTTTGTGACGATTTTTTTACATATATCACTAAAAATTGATAATTAGCGATTTTTTTTCAAGATTTTTATAAATTGTTGTTAAAACTTACAATTGGTGACATTTTTATGTGATGGATTTTTTAAACTGTCGTTTAAAGTTAAAATTTAGTGACTTTTTTTGTGAAGATTTTTTTTAAAATTATCACTAAAACTTATAATTAGTGACTTTTTTATGAGAAAATTTTCAAATTGTGGCTGAAAATTAACAATTAGTGACATTTTTTTAATAGTATTTGATGAAAAATGATATTAATTATTACAGAATCTATTGGATAATAAGTCCAGTTATTAAAAGTCATCAAAAAAAAAAAGAAAAAAAAAATTTAATAGCGCGTGTGCAACAACATCCTAACAGAGCGTGGCAGTAACCACTGGACTTAAGGGTTCTTTTTTAGCCCTTTTATGAAGGAAGCCTCGAGTACCGGCTGCGGTGATTCAGATTCTTACTTGTGCCTTGGGCTTTCTCAACTCATATCTCTCTCTCTCTTTCTCTCTCTCTCTATAGGGGTTTCCGCAGACGGATCGGAGCAGAGAAGTCGAGACCTTACGGCCGAAGATCGAGCACAATCGCTACAATGAAGATTTTCGTCAAAACCTTGAAAGGCAGTCACTTTGAAATTGAAGTGAAACCTCAAGATACGGTTCGACTTCTCTCTTCTCCTCCCCATCCTCCTCCTGTCTTTATATTCATAATCGCGTGTACTAGGGTTTTTCTCTTGTCGTTGTTGATTGAGAATTAGGGTTTTCACTGACTTTTTGATATGCTATGTACTCGAATTGGTTATGAGACTATCACTATTGGCTTTTGTTTGCTGTTTATGTATCGTTTTTTGCGTGTGAATATGTGTTGCTGTTTTGAATTTTAGGTTTTGTTTTGCTTTGAATTAGTTGGGATTTTTCAATTTAGGAACTTGTATTGTTTTGCTTATCCGGGCTCAGTAGAAATTGGGGTTTTCAAATTGTTAGCAAGCGAAGCTTTCGTATTTGAATTCGCAAGCCTCATTGCTTAAAAATGTAGGTTTTGCTGATGTGTAGATACTTCTTAATTAAGAGAAATCTATTTTACTTCGTATTTTTAGTTCATTAGTTGACGCGTCTTACTTCTGACGAATTAGTTGGGACTTATCAATTTAGGCACTTGAATTGGGTTGCTATATGGATTGATACAAAACTGGGGTTTTGATGCTGTTAGTGAAGCCTTTTGTATTTGAATTCACTATCCTCATTGCTTAAAATGTAGGTTTTGCTGATGTGTAGATACTTCTTAGTTAAGAGAAATCTGTTTTACTCCGTATTCTTGGTTCATTATTGACACGCCTAACTTCTGATGGATTAGTTGGGATTGGGAGTTATCAATTTAGGAACTTGAATTGGGCTGCTATATGGATTGATATGAAATTGGGATTTTGAAGCTGTTAGTGAAGCCTTTTGTAGTTGTACTTAGTAGCCTCATTTCTTAAAAATGTAGGTTTTACTGATATGACGATACTTCTTGACTAAGGGAATTCTTTTTTACTCTGTATTCTTAGTCCATTAGTTGACACATCTTGCTTCTGCTTTTGTATTTGCTTACTTCCGATGATACATGGATTGATCGGAGAAACAATTGTCTTAAATAAGATTGTAGTTATTAATTTTGTGTAGAGGATATTAATTTACATCTCAGTGGTGCGCTGGTATTCTTAGTTCATTACTCGACATGTCTTACTTCTGTTTTAGTATTTGTTTGCTACATATGATACTTTTAAGGATGGATTCATTGGAAAAATAAATGTCTAAAACAACATTGTAGTTATTAATTCTGTTCTGTGTAGAGTATATTAATTTTCATCTCTGTCGTAGAGCGGGCTGCACTTATGTCTGGAATTTGGGTTATGGTGGTACCTAATAATGCTAGATGTCCAAACCTGTCTTTGTTGCTATCTTGTTGTAGAACTCGTTGCGTTTTGTGCTGAGATTGTACTCAATGGAATAGTTAAGGCTTCTGATTGGATCTTTTCATATTTCAAGCAACACATGGTTTAATTACTAGTGTTTTCAGACTTTCCCTTTGCAGACGTCCCCTTTGTGATAATCTCTGTGGCAGTCTCTATTGTCTGTGTGCATACCTATGTAAATATAGTTTTGTTGGTGTTGGTTGACTCGGTTCTTAGTTCCATCCTTACATGTGTTCTCTTGTGGTCAGTAGAACATAACTACATGGCTACCACGGTGTAGGACACATCCAATCTCAGCCATGGCTACCACGATGTAGGACACATCCAATTGTCTTGTTCTTCAGATTTTGGTGTTTGATTTGAGTTGTCAGTTTCTCCAATTTGTAGCCAACGCTTTCAATTGACCATCAGAGTGTGAGGGGTATGTAGAAAGGACTTAAATTTGTTTTGAGAAAGAAAAAGAGAGTCCACCCTTCGCTCGATTTTGTTTGCAACGAGGTATATTCTTTGGATTACTGGTGATTTGTGAATAGTCATGGTTTGCATTGAGGGTAATTCATGGGGTAGGAAAAAGCTAAATTATAGATGTGGTACTCACAAATTTATTTCAATTGTGACCCCAGATAGAGTTGAATGGTGAAATACGATTCATGTAGCCAATCTAAGTGCACAAGGTTTTGTAGGAGTTTTTGTTGCAAGCTTGCCCTTTTCCTATTAATTCACTTGTGAAATTTGCTTGAGTTGAACTGATCAATATATTGTTCTTCAGGTTGTTGATGTCAAGAAAAACATTGAATCTGTTCAAGGGGCAGATGTGTATCCTGCTCCACAACTGATGCTTATTCATCAAGGGAAGGTTCTGAAAGATGGCACAACATTGGAAGAAAACAACGTTGCTGAAAATAGTTTTGTTGTCATCATGTTAACGAAGGTAATGTTTTGATTTGAAGTTTTTAAAAACTATATTCATATATCTACATATATGCATGTATATCATCAATGAAATGACTTTAGCTAGTTTTGATTTTATGTGCACTTAAATGTTTCTCTTGTTCTTAGAAAGTTATCTTCTTATAGTTGTTCCAAGAGAAAAATGTAATTCTTATCCTGTGTAACGAAATTGGTACAAAGCAAAATGGTAGTCTACTACATGACATGTCAAGGGCTCTACTGCCTAGTTGATTCCCTGGAAGGACTATAATTTTCCCTTGGTAGTTCATGAACTTGGTGGATTGAGCAACTAAAACTTGTAGTGGTGTAACAGATGAATTACAACTCACACTGTAGTGTCTATTGGGAGGCTTTGAAGGGAAGACGTGCATTTCCTGGTATTATCAAAGTGATAAGGAAATGATTGCTTCCTCTTGGAATTGGACAATCTCAATTGGGTCTGGTATTATTTGATAAAGGTTTATATTAATCATCAATCACAACTTCTTGCGTAAATATGGGACCATTGGGTTGTGCACTGGAGGCTATGAATTGATTGGACCTGCCAATGCAATAACTCACAATTATGTATAAATCTGTTGTTATACATGATATTAAAAGTACAACAATGAACGGATGGACATCAAAAAGTGAAAAACACATTAAAACAACAACAACAAAGTAAAAAACGCATTAAAACAACACTAGCAAAGTGGTAAAAATCAGAAAGTGAAAAACACATCAGAAATTTTGTTTATTTATTTGTTGGGCAAAGAAAACAAATGGCATAACCTTCTAATGAAAGCTGTAAACTGTTAGTGCTTGTTATACAATCCTCAGGAGCAGTCTATGTTGTAATTATACTCTGGTCATATTTCCTTAGGTTTCTTCCAAATATTTGAGACACATATGAACATGCTCCCTTAACCCTTCTTTTTTTTTTTTTTTGTGTTTCTGTTCATTGATGTTGTTTTATGAATCTCTTTGTTGTATCTCAACCAGACGTTATTTGTTTTTTTTTACTGATTTCTCACTTTGCGTGCTTGAACATCGCTAGAATAAGAGCTCATCTGGTGAAGGTTCAACCACATCGACTGCACCTACAACTAAGGTAATTACAACTTATTTTAGTGATGTTTCCAGTGTGGTGATTTTTGTGGTGTTGTTGTAATGTTTCTGCCATTGTTGCTTAGACAAGTGAAACCTCCCATCAATCTTATTATTACTGCCAAGCCCTTACATTCGGGATTTAATTTACTGACAACAAAACAGAAGGTGGTCAGCATTATCGTCACAGACACCTTTTCAGAGATTTCTCAAGTATGAAGTTCTTTAGAAGAGTTCGATATCATTGAAATTCCATAAATGCATTTTTATTGTTAATGGGAAAGTAGGGGCCCGAGTTATTTTGAGACCTCAAACTAAACATTTAAAGAGGACTTATCTTATTGGACCTTCAAAAAATTGAGGCCATTGACAATAATTTTTTTTTGATATCTTATAAGTAGGCCTTGGGCAACACACTAGTAGCCTAATGGTTGAGCCACATTTGTTAATGGGCATATTGATTCACCAATATGCTATTGAGTACCTTTTCCTCAATAATGGAAACCATAGGACAGTGGATCACTCAACTTAATTACTGGAGAGCAGCTATAAAGAATTCCCATTAAACCTGTGAGCAAGGATGGGGCATAGTGGATCCCTTAGTCTAGTTTCTTGAGAGCTATGGAAGAAGTCTCATGGCACCTTATGAACTAGGACTGAGAAAGGTCAAGGAGATTTAACCTTGTACTAACTTCAATGTCCATACTCTATTGAAGAGTTTTAAATGTTTTTTTCTTTTCAAACATACCCGTGAATGCAATTTGAAAGTGTTACATAAGCTCCTGTCAAAATGGAGAACTTCTAATTTGATTATAAAAATGTGTACAGTGACTCCCTAAGAAGCATGAACGCTTCTGCTGAGGAAGCTTGTCGTGTCCAACACTTGTGTCCCAACTGTGACGTGCCCAATGTTTTTTAAAATCGGCATGTCTGTATTGTGACCGTGTCTGTGCTATTTAGATGACACCTTAATGCCTTTCAAACTAAATTTGTGCATGCAGATTAGAACTTATGCAGAAACTATTTCCATAATGGAAACCTTTTAGTTTGACAATGAAACATGAAAGATCATTATCTGAAGCTAATATATTGCTAGGTTCTCGTTCCATGCTTAAATTGGTAGGATTTAATATACGTAGGAGAAGAATAGTGAGGGATAGAGCATTTGGTGTTGCTCTTCCTCCCAAACACACTCACATACACACACTTTTGTATGTTAATTTTTCTTCCTCAGTTAATTTGATCCTTGGAAAATGAGGGAGAATTTTTTTTCCTCATAAGTAATATATATATATATATTCAACTTATCAATTTATAACTACAATTAAATCACCTACAGAAGAAACTTATGATTTCCAATCACTATAGGATTGCATCAAGGGTTAACTTTGAATCTTTACCTATTTGTCTTAGTCATGGATAAATTAACAAAACACATTAAGGATAATATCCTGTAGTGTATATTGCTAGTAGATGATATTGTTTTAGTAGAAGAAGTTTAGGGAGCAATTAAATTAGAAATTTTGAGAGAAGCATTCGAGTCCAAAAGATTTAAAATTGGTAGAACTGCAACTGATTATATGGAATGTAACTTTAATAGCAATAGAAGTAGAAATAATGGAGAAATAAAGATTGAAAATCAGGAGATAACGAGGAGTGAACAATTTTTTTTACTAAGGATGGCCAGGTTGGAGATCATATGATCCATAGAATCAAAATAGGTCAGCTGTGCACATAGGCCAAACCAGGGGGGTAAAGTGTAATTTGTCCTATAATTATGGCAAGTAAGGTTGATTTGCAAGCCAACTATGCTTTTTTGAATTTTTTCCTGTGTTTTGGTGTTCTATACCCCTTTTTTCTTTTTTAGTTAATGTATTTCAGATTAATGTGTGAGATGCATCTAATTTTTCTCTCGACATTTAGGCACCACAGACAAGTGCCCCACCTCCTACTACAGCCATTCAAGCTCCTGCAGTGACCTCAGCAGCGTGAGTCTTAAATTTTTCCATGGAATAATATGAAAAATATTTCTTTAACAGTTATTTATTTATTCATTTATTTTTCATTTGTTGGAATATATTTCTCATTATGATTATCTCCACTCCACAGCCCTGCGTCTGTCCCCTCACCTGCACCAGCTCCAGTTCCAGCTTCTGACTCTTCAGTTATTGCTGCGTGAGTTTTTTTTTTTCCCTTTTTTCTTACTTAACTTGTGAAGTGTGCATTTCCATCTCATATTGTCAATTTGTTTTATTTGGAGAATTCCTGCACATGCTTCACCTCTTTCACTGATAGTCAATAATGGATGTTCAACCAGGTCAGAGTCTGGTGTTTATGATCAAGCAGCATCTAACCTGGTTGCTGGTAGTAATCTTGAGGGAACAATTCAGCAAATTCTTGATATGGGTGGAGGGATTTGGGATAGGGATACTGTTGTTCGTGCTCTTCGAGCTGCTTTCAACAACCCAGAGAGAGCTGTTGAATATTTATATTCTGTAAGTGTCTTCGCATCTGCTTGATCCTTTGGTATGTCCATTGCAGTTGGAAGTAATGTTTAAAGAGACATTGTTTGGAGAGTTTATTCTGTCATTAACATTCAAATACAGTATAATTAGTTGGAAAATATCAGCGGAGGCTGTGAATTATTTGCCTCAGGAAAATTATTGCAAATGGGAATCCACTTAATTTTGTTATAATGTTTTTGTTAGACAAGGCATGAGTCTGGCATAATGTTCTGTCTTTTGTTAAAATAACTAGTAGTCTCATGACTCTCAGCTTGTATAATGCATGGGAATAATATGGAGGGAAAAGAAAACAAAAATGAAATTGTGGGGCACACGACTATTTCTCATGACTCTCTTCCTTAAATAAATAAATAAATAGGAAAAGACCTAATGATTCTGTCTTTTCACGTCTCTCTCTCTCTCTCTCTCAGCTATATTTCACATTTACAAGGGGAGAAAAGGGAGGGTAAGGTTAGGCCATACACTCTCCGTCTTAATATGGAGAAGCTGGATATGTATGGAGTTATGAGTTTAAAAGCATATTAGGGAAAAATAAAATATAAAAAGACAATAGGCATTGGCGATGAGCCTGTAAAAGTTGATCAGGTGGTCAGAGGTTCATCAAAACACGTCAGAGGCACCATAGATCCAATGATTAGGAAAGAGATAGTGCAGTCCAATCCAGAAGAGAGGGAGCTAGTGGTGAACCATAACTCAAAAAGTACAATGCTCAAGTGAAAACATCAATGTTAGGTGAAATCTTTAATTAAATGTAATGGCAATTCCATATCTATAGGGAAGTCATTAGGCTGTCTTAGGATTTAGATAGACCATTAGGATTGTCTCTTGATGAGGCGCCTTAGGCAGCTTGACCCATGCGAGTTGTGGTGCCTTGGAGAAACCTCCTTCTCTAGGTTTGAGTCACAAATCCCAAAGAATACCACGGTGGGTACCAAAGGCTTCAACATGCCTAGGCTTTGCCTCTTGGCTATGTTTATGAGCTTGCGGGGCAACTTCCACGATGATGAAGGATTAGCTGTATAATCACTGCAGTCAAGTAATGTGGTGCCTGGTATGAACACTGCAACAATGAAGTCCATAAGACAGCCTATATATACTCCTAACTCCCACAGGGGGTTAGATTAGTGAGCTTCATAATAATGAGGTGTAGGATCTAAGCAGACGAAGTCCTGTTGTCTTTTTAAACCTGTTCATCATGACCGAACTTGTGGACCATACACGTGGACTTAGGCACCTGCTGACATGTATAGGTCTACATGCCAACATGTAAGGCACAACTCATTGCTTACATGTTTATAACACATTGCATGTTGGGAAGTATCTACAGAGAAGAATTGGGAGGAGATCACATTTGTTATCCTGCAGATATGTATTTTTAATTCGTATGCTTTATTTACATTTAACTGTGAAGAGTGAGAGACATTTTGGAACATAAATGGGGGTGGGGAGATTATTGCCTGTGCTGTCATATTCTGCTAGTTAATAATTTTCATTTAGGAATCACTCATTTTGAAAGATGTACTCATATTTCCAGACTGGTGGCTGGTGAACTTAAAGATGGTGTGATGACATAACAACCTACTATTTGGGTTGTATTTGGGTGGGAGGTGGACTGATTTGGTGCCAGTTTGTATGATGTGATTCACAATGACTGAGTTTGATTCAGCATGTCTCAGTTTAGCTATTTCGTATTATTAACTAAAATATTTTATTTCCCTGGCTTTTTTAAGTTTTGATTTTGAAGATTGCACAAAGCATTGCAAATGAACATTTGGCATATTAGGACTAATATGCCTAAAATGAATAATCTATAATATCACACAAAGCTAAGTTCCTTCGATCTTCCATTCCATCTTTGATATTGGAGTTCATGGATACTTTTGATTTTAATTTCGAGAACTAAAGCAGTCTCTTATCACTTGAATTACCACCCCAAGATCTTTTAACAAAAAATTTAGAGGTTGTACTATTCTAGATATTGGTGTCTTTATGTTGTAATTTATTATTTTTTTATACTAGGGTATACCCGAGCAAGCTGAAGTTCCACCTGTGGCCCGAGCCCCAGCAACTGGACTCGCTGCAAATCCTGCAGCTCAGCCTCCACAACCAGCACAACCAGCACCAGTTCCTGCAAGTGGACCCAACGCTAATCCGTTGGATCTCTTTCCCCAGGTATGTATAGTCATTATTAACTGAATTTGTTGGAAATTATATGGGTGATGACTAGATATTTTCTGGCAATAGGGTCTACCAAACATGGGTTCAAATGCTGCTGGCGCAGGCACACTCGATTTTCTACGCAACAGTCAACAGGTAGGTACTCCTCCCTGTGTGCGTCTGTGCTCGCACACACATGCATATGTTGTGTGTCACATTATAAACTTTTTGCTTTCCTGTTTCAGTTCCAAGCCCTGCGAGCTATGGTCCAGGCTAATCCACAAATCTTGCAGGTTCTTAACAACTGCTCTGCAGCTGCTCTCTTCGTAGTTTGTTAACAAAATTTTATGAATGCTATGGTCTCTTTTTCTCTTTTAATTAACGGGCTTTTTATTGTTCTCTTCTTGTCGACAGCCCATGCTTCAGGAGCTGGGGAAGCAAAACCCTCACCTGATGAGGCTTATTCAGGAGCACCAGGCTGATTTCCTTCGTCTGATCAATGAACCTGTTGAAGGTGGAGAAGGGTAGGTTCTCAAGTTGGTTTCATACTCTTTTTTTTTGGTAGTTATAAAGGTTTACATTGCTAATTTAAGTTGTTATGTGTTATTAGGAACATACTGGGGCAGCTTTCTGCAGCAATGCCACAGGCTGTAACAGTTACTCCCGAGGAGCGAGAAGCCATAGAACGGGTATTTGCACTTCCTAAACTTTATTCAGATTGGATGTGCCTGCTGTGATCCTTTTGTAGAGGGTTTTTGGCATAGTTACTAAATTCTCTCACTTCTTGAAAATTTCTTGAATTTATCCCTAAACTTTCGTTTCATTATATGAACAAATCCCAAATTTATCTTGTATATTTTAATAATTCTTGAAATTTATATATCTCTCAAATATTATAAATAATATTCGTACTAGTTATCAAAGTTTTTAAAGGCAAATGCATTACGTAAGACGTTTAACCCGTCATGAGGCGAGGCATAAGCCTTCAGGCGTTGAGGGTTAAGCATTTCAAATTTCAAATTTTTATATTTAGTAAATAATTTAAATATTTTAAAACAATAAATAAATACATCAAAATCAAATATAAAGGTGTAATTACTTTTTTTCACTGCAAAGAAGGAAGCTTTGCTTTATTGAAATTTGAAAGTGAAATTGGTGTTTTCAGCTTTAGTGATTAAGCTTCTCACTAAGCATTAACTTTGTGTTTTTTTCTTGATTGGTCATTTACTTGAGATGAGGTTTATTTATTTATTTTTTATTTTTTACTTTTTATATTTAAACCATCTACTATGTACGCAAGTCTTTGGAGAGTATAGCCTTAAAATCAAAGCCTTGAGGCATTTTGCCTTAACCTCGCCTCAAGGCGAGCCTTAATAAAGCCTTTTAAAACTTTGCTAGTTATGAAGAAATTATTCAAGATAACTATAGATTGAGGGCTCATCTTTTTAGGGTTTTCATTCACAATTTTTTGTAATAAAAGTTTTTAGAAAATTTTCCCAAACAATTGCCAATATTTTCTCGAGTAACTCTCGAATCACGAATGATTTCAACCGAATAATTCTTGAATTCTTAAATTGTTACCATGGTTTTGATTTTTTTTTTAATGATTTCTGTTGATTACAATCATTTACATTTTCTTAATTAGTTTGTTTTCATATGGGGGGATGGCAATCACTGGAAGTATTTCAATCCTGAATAGTAATACTAGAGAAAATTAAGCAGGTGGGATGATGGCAGTCACTGCCTTCGGTGATTTCAAGTGTATGGATTTTGGATTAGATGCTAGATTGGCTAAAAGCCTAAAACTTCAACCTTATGTGCTGGTTAGTAAAACTGTGATTTTAGCACTAACAAGTTTCAGTCCTGAATTACTACTTAAAAATTAAGCACCTGAAATTTTAGAAGTTGAAAACTTGGTAAAATTTTTAAGTTCAGATCAAACTTTTGGAACCACAATACATTGCACTTGGCATATTCAGCCGTTAGCGAAACAACAGTTGAGGGAGCTCTGAAATTTTCAGTTTTCAGCTAATAGGATATTATCAAACGGTTCAGAAATAGTTTTCAATCCAGTTGAGCATCTTTAGGACTCTTTCATGGGAAGTCACTTAAGTTACTAATCTTGATGCAAAGCTCAGCTCAATATTAATTATAATTTCTGATTTTTTTTGTGACTTGCATTGAATTATTGTTTTTTGGATTCATTTATGGAGGTGAACTCAGATGATGGCTTGTGGCCTTTACTTGAAGATTGCTGATACTTCCTCTTGACTTAATTTAATTTTTTTGACATTTAGTTTATAATGGTAATTCTTTCCTCCCCTTGTTTCAGCTCGAAGCAATGGGTTTTGATCGGGCAATTGTACTGGAGGTGTTCTTTGCCTGCAACAAGAATGAGGAGCTGGCTGCCAATTACCTTTTGGATCACATGCATGAATTTGAAGACTGATCGGGCAATTATCTTTCTTCTCCATAGTTCTTCTCACTTGTTATCTATTTTCTTTTTTCTTTTTTCTTTTTCTTTTGTTGGCTTACTCTTTTCTGAATTCATATACTTCATCCCCAACCCTAGATTTGAGTTTTATAATGTTAGTACTGGAGAGGACTTGATTGTCAATATGTGTAACTACTGTCATGCTTCCCTACTTGTCTTCCTCAGTACCTACCCTCCCTTGTCAGGATCTATTACAGTTTCTATACATAGTAGGCTTGTTGGCCTGTTTAATTGTGCAATATCCTCTGCTTTTTTTGGGCATATTAGCTATATATGGCTTCAATGATGGTTGTGGAGTTGTTTTATACTAGTCATTATGTTGGATCTTGGTGATGGTGGTGGTGGTTCTGTCATCGGAAGATAAATCCTTAGATAAGGAAAATTTGAGATAGGAATTGCAATTTGTCTTGTGTGGAGTCAAAAGGGTTAGAGACTGGTGGCCTAATTCCTTCTTGAAAGAGGACGTTGGGACTCCACATGAATGAAGTTACGAATGTGAGTTAGGTTAATTTATGTCTGAATTTTGAAGTTTGGTCTGATTTTCCAGAGTCAAACCATGCACAGCCCTTTCAAGTTACATGTAGTTGAACATGAACAAAGCATGTGAATGTACTGGCCTATGAAGGCGATTTATAAATCTATGAACAGAATGAGGAATGATCAGATAGCTAATTGAGTAGAGGTCTACTACATACTTGATCCCTTTCTTTTATAGGAAGCAATGATTTTAGGGAGGGCTTTAGGGCTAGTATAGTACTTACCTCTAATGCTTTTCCTATGTAGTATTTCCTTTCATCTCAGTTGATATGATCCTACAGTCGACAGGAGAAAGTAAATGAGAATAGTTAGACCACCTTAGAGTACTTAAAGATTTGTGTTTATTCTTGTCTGTTGTGTTAATTTAGTCGTTGTAGTTCTAATTGTATCAATTTTATCTTTTAATTTTTCACTCTATGTCAATATATTTCAATTGATAATACCAGGCAAGATATTGGACACAAATCAAGAGAAAATTTTGAAATTAGGAACTTTTAATTGCACCCCATAAAAATTATTGGACATCGTATCCCCAAATTTAAATTTTGTTGATTTTTATTAAAGACTAATTAATCCCAACCTTGCCCTTAGTCAGCGATGTCACTCCACTTCCACCATTGCTTGGTACCCCTTCCTCTCATCTCTGTTGTCGATGCTACCTTTGCTATTGCTTGTTGCCCCTTCCCTTTCCCTTTCCAACCCCTCGCATTCTCTCTTATTGCCCCTTACCATTCCCTCTTCAAACCCTAACCCTTTTCCCTCCTCAGAACCACCTTAGCTCCTTTCATCATCCCTTGTGAACCATCTCATTGTGACTTATTTTTCTTCTTTAAAACCTTAGAGGTCTCTCGTCATTCTTCTTCTTCTTCTTCTTAACCTCTCTCTCTTGTAGTGAAGGACTACAGGAGTAGTGAGGGTGGAGATTGTAGAAAGAGCTGGGGATAGCAATTGGAGGTGAAAAGAGGCTGAAAGGTGGCAATGAAAGCTGGGGTGCGTGAGGAGGTGGTTGGGTGGCTACTTGAGGTGGTGGCTGAGGCGACTGAAAGGTGAAGATGGTGAAATGGATTTTGGATCTCTGTCCCTTTAGGTAATTTGACTTGGGGGTATAGTGGGCATTAAAAAAATATGGAAAGGGGGTGGTTCAATAATTTTTATGGGCTGCATTTAGGGGTTCTTTTTCCAAAATAGATATCAACACTTCAATCATTTTAAAGAGAGTGAACAAATTATTTTGACTTTTGATTTCAATCTAATTTTTAAATGAGCATTATTAATAGGACTAAATTGACCCAATATCAAAAATTTAAGTGTAAAGTTGATATAATTAGAATTGTTATGATCAAATTGACACTATATATATATATATAAGAATATATATCTAAACAATAACAAATTACAATAAAATACTTGTGTATATATCTAAAAGAATAATAATAAATACTCAATTATCTACGAATAAATATTAGATATATATATATATATCTAAATAATTTAATTTGATTTTAAACTCAAATTATAATTATAAAATTACAAGTCAAATTGTGAAGTAAAATTTGTCTATTTAAAAAAAAAAAATATCGAAACCAGACATTGAAAAAATAAATCAAATCGTGTAATTTGATCTACACCATACCAATTTATGATTTGTTTGATTTTTTTTTTTTTCACATAAACCCCACTCATGAATGATTATTTTGAAGAGAGTGACTAGCAATAATCTAATTTTTTATGCGACTTCACTTTTCCACGTCGCATCTTATCTCGTCTCATGTGCCTTCTGCACGAAATCCTACCTAAGAAACACATCATCAAAATCCATTATGGGGCTCTCTTTCCACTAAATATTTTTTTGGCAAATCTATTTTATTTTTAGGAAGAAGTTAGGTGTGAGTCTCCTATCACAAATAGTTGGGTCCGAAATATTATGTCTTCAACTTAGCTTGTAACGAAATAAAAATTTTTTGTACCAAAAGAACAAGATGGTTTCGTGCTGAGTTTTGCAATTCCTTAGAAAAAGAAAAACATCACAAAAAAGAATTGTTGACCCAAAAAAAAGAACTCTTTGTGTGTGAAGAATGCTTTTTGATCACTCACTACGGCTGTGCCTTGTTAATTTTGTAAAGATATTGACATTAATGCTTGCAATACTTATTTGAAAATTTATCAATATTTACATTAGTGCCTTGTTTTTTTTTTTTTTTTTTTTTTCACACAATTTTAATATATATAGATAATGATAAATTTAAAATTCAAAAGGAAATTGTTTTTCCCTCCTAATTTCAGTCGCCTGAATCTCCCGAATGAGCTAGGAGAGAAAGAGAAGAGAGAAAGAGAAGAGAGGGGAAGAGGAGGAGCCCGCCGTCGCCCTCCGCCCGATCGTCGCCCTCCGTCGCTCGTTGCAGCAGCCCCGCTCGTCGCAGCTCCGCCTCTGCCTCGTAGCCCCCGCCTCTGCCTCCGCCTCCACCCCCTGCCTCTGCCTCTGTCTCTGTCTCTTCCCTTGCCTCCGCCTCCAGCTCGATTTTGTTGGCCCCTCTAGTTCTTCTTCTTTTTCTTCTTCTTCCTTCTCTTCTTCTGATTTTCTTCTTCTGAAAAAAAAAAAAATCAAAACGATGAAACAACGTCGTTTTTGAATTCAGGGGGATTCGGGGGCCTCTCTTTTGAGCTACCAATCACTTCTGTTCTCAAAATTAGATTATGCCCATCAAAATTTTTAATTTCATAACAAAAGACTCTTTTTATTAATAAATCATAGGGGATTTTTTTAAGGTCCCTAATATTAAGATTTTATAGCATAAAGGACATTCAATTTTTTCATAATGTTTAAGGTTCTTCAACATTGATTCAAAGAAAATTCGAACCACTTTCCAGAGAAATTTTGGGAATTTCTCTGGACCTCCCAGAGAATTTCTCAGAGAAAATTTACACAATGGCCAAAATCCTAGAGAAGTTCTCTCGACAGAAATTCTCTCTAGAGAAAATGGGTGGGCCAAAAAGTGGCTTTGATTCCCAATTCTACGAAGGAAGAAAGAAGGAAAAAAAAAAAGAAAAAGAAAAAGAAAAAGATAAAGAAAAAGAAAAAGAAAAAGAAAAAGAAAAAGAAAAAGAAAAAGAAAAAGAAAAAGAAAAAGAAAAAGAAAAAGAAAAAGAAAAAGAAAAAGAAAAAGAAAAAGAAAAAGAAAAAGAAAAAGAAAAAGAAAAAGAAAAAGAAAAAGAAAAAGAAAAAGAAAAAGAAAAAGAAAAAGAAAAAGAAAAAGAAAAAGAAAAAGAAAAAGAAAAAGAAAAAGAAAAAGAAAAAGAAAAAGAAAAAGAAAAAGAAAAAGAAAAAGAAAAAGAAAAAGAAAAAGAAAAAGAAAAAGAAAAAGAAAAAGAAAAAGAAAAAGAAAAAGAAAAAGAAAAAGAAAAAGAAAAAGAAAAAGAAAAAGAAAAAGAAAAAGAAAAAGAAAAAGAAAAAGAAAAAGAAAAAGAAAAAGAAAAAGAAAAAGAAAAAGAAAAAGAAAAAGAAAAAGAAAAAGAAAAAGAAAAAGAAAAAGAAAAAGAAAAAGAAAAAGAAAAAGAAAAAGAAAAAGAAAAAGAAAAAGAAAAAGAAAAAGAAAAAGAAAAAGAAAAAGAAAAAGAAAAAGAAAAAGAAAAAGAAAAAGAAAAAGAAAAAGAAAAAGAAAAAGAAAAAGAAAAAGAAAAAGAAAAAGAAAAAGAAAAAGAAAAAGAAAAAGAAAAAGAAAAAGAAAAAGAAAAAGAAAAAGAAAAAGAAAAAGAAAAAGAAAAAGAAAAAGAAAAAGAAAAAGAAAAAGAAAAAGAAAAAGAAAAAGAAAAAGAAAAAGAAAAAGAAAAAGAAAAAGAAAAAGAAAAAGAAAAAGAAAAAGAAAAAGAAAAAGAAAAAGAAAAAGAAAAAGAAAAAGAAAAAGAAAAAGAAAAAGAAAAAGAAAAAGAAAAAGAAAAAGAAAAAGAAAAAGAAAAAGAAAAAGAAAAAGAAA